CCATTTTTTTCATGAAGTGTTTCTTCTTCGCTCAATAGCTACGAGTCGTGTTTTCCTGTTCAATAATTTCTACAGAAGTTTAACTTTTGACGTCGTCATTTTTTCTTTTTTTTTTTTAAATTAATTGATTGCTTTTTCTCTTCAACAACATCTTTCTGGTTATGTTCACATCTCTGCTGCTTTATTGATAAAAACACAGTTTGGTTTTTTGGCGTATAAGAAGAAATCATTGATACCGTCCACAAATGCAAACATACAAAAACAATATCAACAAACTATCGGTGAACATCCTAAATCAACAATATCAACATCCTAACTTTTCTAGTAATTATTGCTTGTTTTTACAACTCGCCTCTATCTAAGTAATAATTTATCAATTTTCTTCGCAAAACGTCTCCAATCTCAACTTCTTTCACGAAAGTTTTTGATTATTGATGATTGATCTGTTCGCCAATATCCGCAACCAATTATGCAGCCTTGGTATTTATCAAATCAACTCTATAGCCATTAGTTGGCGACAATTGAGAGAATTTTTTGCTAAAGAAAGCTCCACCGTATGTGATTATATCTCTCAGTAGACTAGTCAGGTATTTGATTGAAGCCACGTGCCACGTACTTTGCTTAAGATATATATATCGTTCCATTCTCTTCATCAGATTGTCAGGGCCAAAACATTGATTTCGCTCACAAAGTCATTCAACTTATGCGTCAATTGTCTCCATTTGCCGTCTTTGAAAGCTGCTTCTGCGCACGTCGGTTTCACTTTTGATAATTATCTGGGTTCTTTTTTATGGCGTTTTGTTTATCATGTCGGACTATATCATTGCTTTGTATTTCTATGTATTGGATGGCGTTTCCTTGTTTGTCTTCCTGTCAATGTCTGTCTTTGATTCGTTTTGCGTTCAGTTTAATATTGCGCAGTCTTCTTTAGCTGTCGATGAAAACATAGGCATATATGCGTCCAGCAAAAGACGGTATCTGCTGGTCTACGCCTACATCACCGTGAATTTTCTCATGTTGTTTCCTGGTGTTTGCATCAATCAAAATTGTGTGGCTGCTTTATCTATGCTTTTCCTTGTCTCAAAATTTTAATTCTCTTTTTATTTGTGTTCGATATCCTTTAACAACTCCTTCAGATACTTCGTCCTCTCTGTCCCAATTTCTTAAGCTATTTCGCCTCTTTTTCTCGTAATTAATATAACTGTTTACAAAACGTTCTGTTGAAATAACAATTTGTGTCTTAGTAGTATACCAAATGGCCGGGGGATCGTTAAGGGGGGGGGGGGGGGGGGGGGTCAAGTCGGGGGAGTCTAATCATAGGGCGCCGCATAACCTTAAAATTGGCTCCATAATTTCCAAAGATGGTGAAATTAGTATATTAACATCTCCCAGTGATTACCGGGTGTGTGGAGCAGATCTTTAAAATTAAGCGCCAACATTTTGTGAACCCCTCGAAAAGATCTAATTTAACCAACACAGCCGCAAATTACTGCTTCCCTGGCGGCTTTCATGGAATCCTAAAATTATTTTTTTCTCAAATCCGACTTAAGAAGTTTGTTTACGTTGCTACAGTCATTGTTAACTTTCGAATATCAATTTTAAAACATGGTGAGGGCATAACTTTTTCATAATTATGACTCTTTCAGTTAATTTTTTGTTTCTTTCAAAATTGTTTCCTTAAGTTTCCACTATTTTGCTTTGGGGAATTATAGACATCTTTAAACTCAATCTCTTGAAAAATCGGGGCTCTTAGTTCTAAAAAACCATAGCATGGTGCTATTCATTTATTTAAAAATACAATGAAGCAAGCAGTTTCAATTTAGAAAAATCATGCAAAAGATTTTTTTCCAAGGTTAACAATCTGTTTTTTCAATAGAGATCTTCTAGCGGACTCTATTTTTGAATGCGTCTTTTCTGCTTCTAATATTAGAGGAATCGCGTTCAATGCTTTCTGGATCGCTAGTTAGATCGACCATTGTACTAGTATTTCTTTCCTCCCGGGCTTATGACAGAGAAAAAAGGTTGTATCTGAATGGTTTCTGAACAACTTTGCAATTGCCTGCTGAATGTTCGATTAATTCCCTCTCTTTACATTTCATTGGTTCATACCTGATCCAAGAACTACAAACTCACATAATTTTTCTGAATCTGAGCTGCTTTTCTGCCATTTTAAGGTTTCCTTCCAACCACTTTCATTAACAATTTCAGCAATAAAAAGATCATCAAAGGTCCCGAAGTGACCAAACGGCTGAGATGTCAAACCATCGTGCCGACGGAATTTCTTTGAATTGATTGATCACAGTGGACTATTATTGATCGCATCTGTTCGAATTTCGTGTTTTTTTATTGAATTCTAACAGTTTTCAGTCAAAAAGGCTGATTTTTGGATATCCCCTCATTGAGTTTTTCATGAACCAAATGTTTTTTTTTTGATGTTGCGGTGATTCGTTTTGTAAGTCCTTGTCCAAATCATAAGAACAAGAAGATATGAATAAAAATAATGAAATTTGGTGGTTTTTCACTGGTTTTTCAATAAGAATTCTTAAGATATTTTAAAAATAGCCAAAGTAAAGGTTTTTTTTTGTTACGTTTACAAGCAGTAAAAACCAACCCTGATACTACAAGACTGTAATATTTTTGTTTCAAGCCTTCAATTTATATCATTATTTTTCACCCAGTTCATCTGTAAATCTCAAAAAAGTTTTATCATAATTTTAGTTGTACGGTAGGTTGTTGTTTTGGTAGTTGGAAAATCAAACATTTCGTCCTGTCTTTTGAGATCGTCCTTAATTAAAGCATTCCGTTTCCGAGCAGAGCAGCTCAAGGTTGAGTTTCGGTGTCAATTTCTCATATTGAAAATTAAACGTGAATCTTTTGCGAGATCCAAAAAGACTGCACCAGTGATTCTTGGTTTTTTCCAATGTAGTACAGAAGGGTTGAACGTATTAGTGGCAAAATTTCAGTCTATTATCTTAAGCAATTTCTGATTTCGCACAACTCCTGCCCTAGATTGTTTTTGTTCTGAACAATACTTAGTTTCTTTCTGTTATGCTATGACTCCATCGCTTACGTTCTTGTGGAAATTAGCTCGAATTATTTTTGTGGCAGTTTTTCTCAGTCAGTTCCGGATGCAAATGAGTGATCTCAACACCTAGTTCTCTATATGATGCGTTAGGTAATACTGGGCATAACTTTTTTAGAATGAAGATATTGAATCAATTTGGGTAAGTTTTGTAGGGTAAGAATCAAATTCGTACCAGCATTTCGTCTACTGCTCAATTCAGCTGTTTTAACGAGCTGCTTGGTGATCGTCTTTCTGGAAACAACACGTCTACTTCTACTTTGTAACCCGTGTCTGATACTTCGGAGTTTAGCAGTCGATTTTTGAACCCTGCATTGCGTAAATCTTTGAGTGAGAACTATTTGCGTTGATGTTTAATATATAGCTGGAATAATTTTCTTCGGCGTTAACATTTTTCTTACTGTTCACCGACATTATCCCGACATTTATCAACTTCCATGTCCAAGTGGTCGCAGTTTGTCACAAAGCGCAAACCCGGCTGTCAAGATTTTCAAATAACATCACCCGACAAATAAGATGCCCTGTAGTAATGTGCATAGTCAACAACCTGTTTTTTATAGCACCCTTCTCGTAGTTCGAGGAACACTGATGCGAGTAGAAACACACCAGTTGTGAGTTATAGATCGTGGTAGTCGCCCAATGTGCAACTTCTCAAATTATTGAAAACTTTAATTGCATGGTTGTTTTGGCTTCGATAAAAATATTTTTCACCGTCTACCGTTTATTTAACAAAAAATCTTCGTGTTGGCAATCTCAATTCTTGAAACCGATCAAAACTAAACAAGTAAGCATGAGCGTAGTCTTTTTTGTTTCAGCAACGAAATTTTTTCTGTCCCAAATATATTTCTGCTAAATAATTTTTCTATCAATTCAAATGTATTCGATGGCGAAATTAGTACCAGTGTTAACAATGATGAAGTCATGAACTTAAATGGATCTATGAAAAGTTCAGTTTTTTTTTCAAGGCTTGTGTCTTCTACGTCTTTTCATGATCTAATATTGCGCAGTCTTCTTTAGCTGTCGATGAACACAATGGCATATATGCGTCCAGCAAAAGACGGTATCTGCTGGTCTACGTACATCACCTTGAATTTTCTCATGTTGTTTCCTGGTGTTTGCATCAATCAAAATTGTGTGGCTGCTTTATCTTTGTTTTTCCTTGTCTCAAAATTTTTATTCTCTTTTTATTTGTGTTCGATATCCTTTAACAACTCCTACAGATACTTCGTCCTCTCTGTCCCAATTTCTTGAGCTATTTCGCCTCTTCTTCTCGTAACTAATAAAACTGTTTACAAAGCGTTCTGTTGAAATAACGGTTTGTGTCTTAGTAGTATACCAAATCGCCGGGGGATCGATGAGGGGGGGGGCAAGTCGGGGGAGTCTAATCATGGGCCGCCGCATATCCTTAAAATTGGCTCCATAATTTCGAAAGATGGTGAAATTAGTATATTAATATCTCCCAGTGATTACCGGGGGTGTGGAGCAGCTCTTTAAAATTAAGCGCCAACATTTTGTGGACCCCTCGAAAAGATCTAATTTAACCAATACAGCCGCAAATTACATCTTCCCTGGCGGCTTTCATGGAATCCTAAAATTATTTTTTTCTCAAATCCGACTTAAGAAGTTTGTTTACGTTGCTACAGTCATTGTTAACTTTCGAATATCAATTTTAAAACATGGTGAGGGCAT